TAGATTCTAGGAAGTGCAAAATAATCTATTGTAGATCAGAGAAACAAGATGATGTGGCCTATGATTTTATCGAAGTCTCATTTACCTGTATAATGTTTGCTTGACCTCTCATTCAACTTGTCCGGGGCTATATGCAAACCTTGTTGAACATACCTAGTCATGCACCCTTGGCCTTAGTATATTATGTTATATTCCAACATCGGACTGTTGAATTGATACATTCCCATGCATTTCGTTGACTTTTTAGTCGGCATCGTCAGTGAGAGCCCTAAGTTGTATCTCCGTGCTAAGGCTGGCGTCTCATTGACGATGCCGACTGTGATGCTGGTGAAACGTCTGGGAATGTACGAAATCACTGGTCCAATCCTCCAAATTATAATGAATACTATGGCTTTAATGTCCATGTGTATAAACATCTCAGGCGAGTATGCGCACAAGGTATTGCGGGAGTCATTAGGAAGAATGAGGTTAGGGTGAATCTGGAAAGAGTTTTTAATTGACTATAAGAAATATTTATATATATTAAAATCTGGAAATGTACAACATCCACGGTCTGACTCTGGAAATCATCATTCATACAAACGACTCCGGACTAGGTGCGTTCCTCTAAGTCAACCTAATCAAAGGAATCAATACCACGACATTTGTGGGTTGGCACACAAGAGACTAGGGCATAGTGAGTCATAACTGGTATAAGGGATAAACGCGGCGGATACTAGAGCTAGTTGGCTAACAGTTGGACTGTTTTACCATATACGTGGTTCATGTAGCAAAGGCTTGACCATGAGATTTACTCAGAGGCTTTAGCCTTGAATTAGTCAGCCAAACACAGGAGGTGGTTAATAACGCCTCGAGAAGCACAGATGGGATTACAGGGGTCGAGTGAAATACTTGAATCAAAGAGATAACAGACAGATCCTACGGGACAAGGGGGAAACTCTGATAAGATCTATGGAAGGGGGACTGCGTAACAATATGGCAGACTAATCAACATTCCTAGAACAAGAGTGAAGGGGGGTAGAACGCCAGCATGGAGTGTGTAGGGTTCTCATGAAAGCTGCTCAAAAGGGCACACCACACCACATTTAAACAAGCAAGAAAAAATTTTGATAGTGAAGGCGTGATACGAGGATATATGAGAAGTGAATAGCCAAGGACAGAAGATGATATACCACAACTGTTCAGCACACATTTGGTTAAAGGATCGGCTTAGCTTGTCTCTTTGACGAGTTGTAGTATAGTGCTAAGGATGTCAAGAATCACTGACGATGCCGGCGAAGCGTCTGGGAATGTAACATGTCCATGGTCCGACTTTGGAAATTATCATGCATACATTCGACTTCGGACTAGTTGCGTTCTTCTAAGTCATCCTACCAATATTACCAAGTTGTGAAAACAAGGTCAAACAACTTTTATTTTGCTTAATTGAATCTATATAAGAGGTAAGCTAGAGCCGGATAGTCTTTTTGCCCCTAATTTGAAACTTAGAAAAATGAGTTCCAGCTCTGATGCTGTCCATTATATCATGGACATAAGCTCAGCCCTTTTTCACCCGAATCGAGGAAGGATGTTTTGTGGACTACGTCGACCTGAACGTCTTATAAAAGTCAAAAGTACAATGGGTTTCAACTGTCCTCTTCTGGTGAGATCGACCTACGAATCTCTTCTTAATGCACTTTCATACGAAATGAAATACCCCCCTCATTAAAAATTATTGTCGATCCATTCCCATGGATAATTTTTTTCAGCCTGACCTATCCTTAGTCGTGTTACTTTCTGGTCTCGGTGATTTATATCTGCCATACGCAGACTCCTAATTATCATGGCCTTCATAACTCCTAATTTAACCTCATAAATGTAGTTGGAATAGAAATCCAGAAGCAAACCTACGTTTGTGGGTTTCTAATACACATCTCTACCTAATCTGGTTCACATTCTGCTAACCAGGACATTAAGAAATGGTAAACCACCTCCCTTTTCTAACTCGATTAATTTCATCTCATCTATATTTTTCATCAAACCAAGGAAATTCTCCAGGTTTTCTTTGTAATGTTGCCCTTGGAAATTTTTAATATTCTGTTTAAAGTAAATTCAAATTTCATTTTATTATATTCTAATCCTAAATGCAAATTCCATATTTTACTTTCCATTCCAGCTATGTATAGTGAATTTTTAGCCGCCTGCCGACTGGGGTCCAGGGAGCGACGTCTTCTATCTATTCAACGCTTACTTGGCATTATGGAATGTTATCCGCGCCACCCAGAATATCGTGCTCATCGGGCCACTCTTCGTTACCTAGTTTCACACTTGGCTCGTGTTGCTTCACGTCAAGCAATAAACAAGATGACGGCTTACAATTTGGCATTGGTATTTGCTCCCAATTTAGTCCAACCTATGGAGGATACTCCTGAGCAATTGATGGCTGACACTAAGTTTAAAATATGGGTAAGATCGAACGAATTTATTAATTATTGTTTATATAGCTTAGCTAGCACTCCCTCCGATTTCCTTCAAAATTCAACCTTGTCATTAATGGCTACCACGATTCTTATAACTTGAACGACCGGGTGTATCTTGACGGAAGTTATTCTATGACTTCAAGTTTGAACCATAATTTTTGGCATTTTCTTGTAGTTGTTTGACCTTGTTTTCGCAACTCGGTCATATTGGTAGGAAGAGTTAGAAGAACCCACCTAGTTCGGAGTCCATTGTATGCATCATCATTTCCAGAGTAGGACCGTGGACGTGGTACATTCCTAGACGTTTCGCCGGCATCGTGGTTGGCATCATCACCACCGGCTTAACTCTTGTTAAAACATATAGATCTTGAATAAGAACTGTAGTCATCCCTGGTCGATCAAATCAATGCAGTAAAGCATTTTGCTACTGCTCTGAGTAAGCCTCAAGATATCATTGTATTTTACTAAGACACGTCTCCTAAGCGGATATTATTATTCGGGGTAAACCGCAGTTTATACTTTGCCTTGCTCTCATCAGCATCCCCAACGCAAATCTAACTCGGTTAACATAGCGTTTATTTTCGACATTTTACTACCACTCCTGGCACTGATTTACAAGGCGGATGCAACTTATAGGAAAATCAGGCCTCTCATATCACATTTTTATAGTGGGATTGCCGATGAAGCAAACGCTTATCATCTAAAGCAACTTAAGTTGCTTACAGTTCTTAGCGTGTTCTTATACTCTTTTGGTGTCTTTATTTATCTTTCCATTTTGGCATCGGGCACTTACATTTCCCTTTTTCAGTCTTGCGCTAATTAGACAATTTGCATAGAGAGATAGTAATTACGTAATTACCAGTGGCATTATTTACTTAATAATTCGATGCTTGTATTTATTTAATAGAAAACCTTAAACAGCAATACCGTGCAACACATGATTCATGACGCATATTGAATTTTTGGGATTATTGGTAATGTTTAAAAATGAGGATGAATTAAGAGAGATCTCCGAAAGGCATATCAGGTAAGGAAGAGAAATTCATCGGTATGAAGACCAATATGGTCTTTGGTTTACCTTTAGTTTGTTTAATTCACCTTTCGCTCAATGTATTTGAGTTTTATTCGGAAATGGGATAGGGGACTAATGTTATTGCATCAGGAAATATGAAATGTGTTGTTTTCAAAAAGGAAACAGAAATATTCACTTTTTCGATAGGAAACTATTCAAGGGAATCTTATTCATTTTAAATAACTAGCCTTAGGTTCTAAATATGGCACTCCTTACTTAAGGCTAGGCAGCCAGTACGGTGTATTTTGCCCGAAGCACGGCTAATTTGTTAAAAGATTTCCATATATGGAAATTTTTTTCATGATTCGAGTCCTGAATGTGTCACTAAATGCAACGTTTTCCATTGGCAGCGAATTAGCTTTCGTTTCGGTACCACATATAATCCATCAAGAATTAAGAACAGGCTTTATTTATGCCAGTAAAGAAAACCTGTGCCGAATAAAAGCATACAATAATGATATACTGGGTAAATATTATTGGTCTGGATCATGGCAACCAAGAGGTCCTATCGGAGTGACTTAGCCAACATTTGAGATGCTGCGGAGGCTCAACGCAGATAGCTGACGTTCATTTGCATACAGTATTGCCGCAAAGTAGTGGTGGTCATCAAAAACTTTATTGCCGTTAAAAGACATTATATTTTCTTATGTTTGACCTTGTTTTTGCTACTTGGTCATATTGGCAAGAAGACCTAGAGAAAAGCACCTTGTTATGAGTCCATAGTAGGCATGGCAAATTCCGGAGTTGGGCCATGGACTTGGTACATTCCAAGACGTTTAGCCGGCGCTGTAGTCGGCATCGTTAGTGACCAAGTTGCGAAAACAAGGTGAAACAATTTCTATAAAACGAAAGGAGATCTCGACTACTAATGACCACACCATCTTGGTCTTTATTCTTTCGGTTACTCTTCCTCTTCTAATTAGTTTGGGCCATCACTTTTTATTTCGCACATATATGCGAACACATGAAGGCACACTAAAACTGACACACTAACGTGCTTCAAGGTTGATATATAACTTGGCCTATGCAAATCACTTTATACCTTTTAAAAGATCTTATCTATATGTTTATATACAACACTCAGGGATAAGCCGGTGAATTTTTCTGACTCGTTAGGTTCAATATGGTTGTAAGGATGGTACCCCGATATTTGATCATAAACGTGGTCCATGAAGCAAAGGCTCAATCATGATAATTACTCGAGTTCTTTAGCCTCAATTTAGTCTACCAGATACAGAGGGGTGGAAATAATGCCTCGGGTAGCACAGATAGGGTGGCAGGGGTCGGTTGAAATACTTGAAGCAGGGAGATAGTAGACGGATCCTATGGAGCACGATGGAGACTGATAAGACCTATGGAAGGAGGACTGCGTAACAATATGGCAGACTGATAAACATTCCCAGCACAAGGGTGAAGGTGGCGTGAGAACGGCAGCGCGGAGTGTGGAAGGTACTCATGAACGCCACTTAAAAGGGAATACCAAACCACATTTAAATAATCAAGTAAAAAATTTTGATAGTGAAGGGGGAATACGAAGATATAGGATTCATGATTAGCTCAGGGGGGAATCAGAGATATTACGATTGTTTAGCAGACAATTGGTCAAAGGATTGACTTCACTTGTCTCTGGCGTGTTATTGTATGGTGATAAGAATGACATTGCCCGCTGATTATGCCGTCTGAACGTCTTAGAATGCACCATGTCCACCGTCCGAATCTGGAAATTTTAATGCATACTATGCACTCCGGACTAGGTGCGATCACCTAGGTTTTCCTACTAATATGATCAAATTGCGAAAACGAGGTCAAACAATATCTATATGAAATTTCATCGCAATATTAGCTTTATTTAGATTATTTTGAATTAAAATTGTTTTATATTATTTCTATCAGCTGGTCGAAACCCTGATTAAATACCATGACTGGGTATTCTCTCCTGATTTGGGCCTTGAAAGTGGCTGTGATGTGCCACCTGATTCAGCGGAGGATCTCTCTGCTCTAGAAGATCTGAATCCTCTTGGTGATACAAGTGTCTCTGGTGGAACAGTCATTTTAGCGCATTGTAACCAACCTGTTGGTCGCATTGAAGGTGAGTCTGAAATATATTTTATGTTTCCACGCTTTTTTGTTTAGGGGGATGAATTTCCCCACAATGATATACCTTTGCAAGAACCTTGCTATATAAAATTCAATGGAAACGTAACATCTAACCATATAATTGTGGATAAATTCAACTATCAGTCCCTTTATCATGTTTAACGAAATAGATTTAATGCATTTAACATATAAATAACCTACTTAAAGCTGGAATATCTTGAAGGTATGAAAACCAAGATGGTGTGGCTTTTTGTGCAGTCGCAGTCTCCTTTCGTTGTATAGAAGTTGTTTGACCTTGTTTTCGCAACTTGGTCATATTGTTAGTAAGACGTAGAAGAACGAACCTAGTCCTGAGTCCATTGTATGCATCATCATTTCAAGAGTAGGACCATGAACGTGGTACATTCCCAGACGTTTCGCCGATATCCTAGTCGGCATCGTCAGTGAATCTCGCTATTCTTAGCATCATAGTACAGCTCGTCAAAGAAACAAGTGAAGCCCATCCTTTGACCAAATGTGTGCTAAACTTTTATAGTATCTCCCCTTCTGCCCTGGACTATTCACATTTCCTATATCCTTCTATTATGCCTTCCCTGTCACAATTTTTACCGTGTTTATTTTCATGTAGTGTGGTGTGCTCCTTCGAGCGGCATTCATGAGAACCCTTCACACTCCACTCTGTCATTATCACTCCCTTTACTCTTGTGTTGGGATTTTTGACCAGAGTCTGCGATATTGTTACGTAGTCCTTCCCTGAGTCCTATCAGAGTCTCCCTCTTGCCCCGTAGAATCCGTTTGCTATCTCCCTGGTATTTTACTCGACCCCTGCCCAACCCACAAATGTGCTTCAAAATTGAACCAAATCAAAACAAGCTGTACCTCAACATTTGTGGGTTGACACACAAGAGACTAGGGCATGGCAAATCATAGACTTGGTATTAAGGATAGAAACAGGATAGAAAGGGCGGGGACCGGAGCTAGTTGGCTGACGGTAGATCTGTTGTAACAGAGGCGTAGTAAATGCAGCAAAGGGGTGACCATGACACTCAGAGGCTTGCGTCTCGAATTAGTCACCCAGACCCAGTTTGCCATGGTTTACAAAAGCAACCAAAGGCGAAAAACTTGCTATTATAAGGAAGATCTTGAGTATGATTATGCTTAATTAAACTTGGTATGGATAGTGAAACTTAGGAAGAAGAGCTTTTTCTTGACATTTTAGCTGTTTGTGATGTGAATTGATTAAAATATGGAAGTAATATTGCCAAACAAT